TAAAATAATTCTAATCTAGTCGATAAGGAAATAAGTAAAAGAAATTTTCATGATAATCACTGGAATTGTCAAACTGCAAAAAATCTCATTTCTATGTAGGAAAACAATATAAAATTGAGGAAAAAACTAGACATCTAGGTTTTTTGGTCATAACTCGCAAATATAATTCAAATTTTTCCAAGTTCCACGGCAATCATTAGGTTATCCATAATAATCGTCATTTGAAATGCAATGTTCAGAGTTGTGCAGGTCAACATGGCACGTGTTCAGTTGAACTTTTCAACTCTACTGGGTCATTTTACCCAAGTGGGACCTATGTGGCTCATCATCACAGCCAAATTCATGAACATTTTGATAAAGAATTTCCAAATCTATATCTAAATGACTGTCATTCATCAATAAAAACTTAAATTTTTGTCAAAGAACTCTCTTTTGTATTAGTATCATACCAGATGATTAGAGAATTGTGTATCTCACTCATATTTCATAAGCCAAATTCATCCATGTACTATTGAAGCAAAATAATTGTGTTCAGTATAAAGTAGCATATGTTTCCTTCCCATGTTTTATTAACCGCGCTTGCCAGTATATAATGACCAGCTACAGCTGTTTAGCTACTTTATAAGCTCTTCTTAGACGGGAAAACAGAGAAAATCTCCCCCAAGTATAGTTAAACCTAAAAACAAAATAACTTCTATATCATGAGGAAAGCAGAAGAAAGTAAGGACAGACAAGTTCATAGCAAGGAGCAAACAAATCAGACCAGCTGCACAGATGAAAAGTTAATTTAATGAGATCAAAATTGATGGCAGATATGCACAGAAGCAGTCTAGAAAGGCTCATACCCCAAAAGTTGTAAGTTTGACATCAAGTTCATAAACACGACTAGACTGTACCTACAACTATTCACACTTCGCGCACACGCATAAACACAAAAAGAAAGGGATGAAAAAACTACCTTCAGGGTCTCCATTTCTTCTTTTGTGGGACAGAATTTTATAAGATTCTCAACTTGATCAATGTCCAGGGCTGCAGAATCCAAAGCCAGTATGGCATTCTGGAAAAAAAATAATAATAATAATAAAATAAAAGACTCAGGAATCAGCCTCGTGATGTTAATTTATGATTAATCCTTCATCTATAATGTATTAAGTGGAATATAATGGAAACAGTTCGTACTACTACTGTTTAACTCCAATGAAGAAAACAGTTATGCCAATTCTCCAGCACTAGTTGATATGAAAAAACAGTCTCATAGAGTCATAGAAATGTTGCATTAAGATTAAGCTCTTGTTTGAGCCCCATTTTAGGTAAAAATGTGTTTTGAAATAGTGACTTTTTGGATAATGAGTGGTTAAAAAAAATAAGGAAAATGTTTTTGGTTTACAAGTAAAATTATTTTACTGGAGAATACGTTGTTGAAAATGAGTCTTGAAAAAATGAGTTTTTGAAAAAATGGGGCTCAAACAAGAGCTAAGCTTGTCATATAATTGCATAAGGTTGTCATTGGAAGCAATGGAGGCGATCATAAATGTTCTTGAAACACGATTAAAATACTTTGTTTCTTGTGCCTGCTTTTTTTTATGTTGACTCTTCCCCCTCCTTTTCAAATGAAAATCAACAACATAAGCATCTAACTCTTGTAAGCCAATTTCTACATTTTGCACTAGACTATGCACTTTCACAGAGGACTAAGATGGAATGATTGAAAGAGAAAGGACATTTCCTTACACACAAGTCACTGAATTTGAAAATTCCTGATTACTATTAATATAATTAAAATAATCAACTGAAAAGATAGACCTTATATATTTCAAGTAAGGTAGTCAAAAAAAGAATGAAATTGAGAAAATGAGCCAATGGTCCAATTATTTAACAAGAAGCAAAAATAATTACAAAGTCTTTGTAGGCAAACAAGAATATATTAAAGACTTAAGAATATAGTAAGTCAGTCCAACAAGAAGAAGAACAAGCAAAGCTACCCAACTAAATTGAGTTACACTACATGAATCCTTTCGTCACCTCATTTAATCCAGCACTACTGTACTGAAAATTTCAATTAAATTAAATCTTTTGCGTAACCCATTTTGTTAATTTTAAAATATTTCTCCCTCTTTCAACCCTTTTTTGTATTAAAATAGCTGTTGTGAATGGGCACTTATTTAAGTTGATGCAAGACATGTCACAACTAGCCAAATTGTCCTTCCCCTGATTTTCTAAATGATGAAAACAACGAACTACAAAAGGAATATAGAGAACTAGAGAGTAGAAATATCAATTTTGTATTGAGCATGAGGAGG